TATATATATATATATATGTATGTCGACTTTTAAATAAGTCTGTTGCGGTGTGCAACCCGATCCTCCAATATGGACTTTTAATAAGTCTGTTGCGGCGTGCAACCCGATCCTCCAATATGGACTTTTTAATAAGTCTGTTGCGGCGTGCAACCCGATCCTCCAACATATTCATTTCAATCAATTCTGTTGCGGCGTACAACCCGCTCCTCCAGTATATTCATTAATATTTAATATGCTAAATGTCATATAACAATTAAGACAACAAGCATACAATAATTATGATTTAATCAAGAAACAGACAAGGTCAAATAGCAAATTATTATAGAAATCAGGGAGAAAATTGGCAGTTTAATATTTAATATGCTAAATGTCATATAACAATTAAGACACATAATTCAAGTAGCATGTAACAATTAATGTAGGAATTCAAGAATTAATATTTGGCAAAGAATAGGAGAGAAATAATTATTATAATAATTATTAATTCATGATTTAAAATAATTTATGATTTTTTAAGTAATTATGCAAAAAATTAATTTGACGACGTATAGACACTCGTCACCTCGCCTATACGTCGTTCACATGCATTTCACATAGCAAATAATTTAAGGGTTCTATTCCCTCAAGTCAAGGTTAACCACGACACTTACCTTACTTTGCAAATTCCAATCAATTACTCGACCACAACTTTTCCTTTGAAATTTGTCTCCAAAAGCTTCAAATCTATTCACAAACAATTCGATATACTTAATACGAATCATAAGAATTAATTCCATATGAATTTATAAATTTTCCGGATAAAAAACAAAATTCATTAAAATATTTGGCAGTGGGACCCACATCTCAAATCCAGGAAAAACTCGCAAAATTCGAACACCCGTTCCGATACGAGTTCAACCATACAAAAATTGTCCAATTCCGNCAAATTTGTCCAATTCCGATATCAAATAGACCTTCAAATCTTAAATTTTCATATTTGGAAGATTTCATAAAAATCTAGTTTTTCTTCCATCTAAATCCAAAATAAATGATGAATATAGACATGGATTTGTGAAATATAATCACTTTTGGTTATAGAACACTTACCCAATCAAAACTCAAAAATGAGTAAAAATGGTTAAAACTCGATTTTATGTATTCTGCCCAGCATTTTCGCATTTGCGGGCTATATTTTCGCACCTGCGGTCT